ATGCACCCCAACCAGGGGCCCTAGGCTAGGGAGGAGCCTCTAATCCAGGCACATGCCCTTGACCAGAATCCCTTAGGTCTGCAGGCCGAAAGCTCTATCCACTGAGCCAGACTGGCTAGGGCAGTGGTCGGCAAACTCATTAGTCAACAGAACCAAATATCAACAGTACAACGATTGAAATTTCTTTTGAGAGCCAAATTTTTTAAACTTAAACTATATAGGTAGGTACATTGTTATTAACTTAATTAGGGTACTCATAAGGCTTAGGAAGAGCCACACTCAAGGGGCCAAAGAGCCGCATGTGGTTCGCGAGCCGCAGTTTGCCGACCATGGGGCTAGGGTTTATTTTCTTTTCCATTACAGTTTACATTCAGTATTATTTTGTATTAGTTTCAGTATATTAAGCATTTTCATTGGTTGTGGTACTTGACTCTCTGCTTCTGTGAGCTTTACAAACTTAAACATTATAAATGTAGGATGTTTTAGAAAATAAAACGGAACAGATTTTTTTATTATGCTGCATTATGCAGCCATGTGGAGGTGGTCTCATGACTGATGTCACTGTTCTAAGAAGTACTTTACAGCTTTATGTATGTAAAGTATAAATACTGTATTTTTGTAAATCTAAGAGTTGGTTCTAGAATCTAGAACTAGGTGGTCAGTGTATGTACTTTTTCATTTTGAAAAGCTCACTTACAGTTTGGGGGCTATCTTATTAGGTGAGGAGGGGGAGCCCACTATAACAGTTGTCTCAATCTTTTTCCTGTTTTAAAATACTTGTACATCATAAGTTAGTTTACTTTTTAAAAATATATATATACAGAGAGGAAGGGAGAGGGATAGAGAGTTAGAAACATCGATGAGAGAGAAACATCCATCAGCTGAAACACTCCCCACTGGGGATGTGCCTGCAACCAAGGTACATGCCCTTGACCGGAATCGAACCTGGGACCCTTGAGTCCGTAGGCTGACGCTCCATCCACTGAGCCAAACCGGTTAGGGCTTAGTTTACTTTTATTGACTGACTTTCAACAGAGGTTGTTTGAGGAAAGGCACTTGTATAACTTGTAAAAGCCCAGTTGAGTCTGTTATGTCTGTATGTTAGATGGTGGTGATTATAGTATTGCATAGAGTTTTTGAGGGAATTTAAATGAGAGAGCAAACAGCACAAAAAAATTCAATAAAGCCCTGGCTGGTTTTGCTCAGTGGTTAGAGTGTCAGCCTGTGAATCAAAGGGTCGAAGGTTCGATTCCTGGTCAAAGGCACATACCTGGGTTGCAGGTTCGATCCCTACCCTGGTTGGTGTGCATGAGGAAGAAAACCAATCGATGTTTCTATCTGACATCAATGTTTGTCTCTATCACTATCTCTTTCTCCCCTCTACTCTCTCTAAAAATCAATGGAAAAAAATATCCTTGGGTGAGGATTAACAAAAGAAAACAAAAAAACCCAAAATATTAATATAAATTAATATTTGACAAAGGAGGCAAGAGCATACAATGGAGTAAAGATAGTCTCTTCAATAAATGGTGTTGGGAAAATTGGACAGGTACATGCAAAAAAATGAAACTAGACTACCAACTTACACCATACCCAAGAATAAACTCAAAAATACTTAAATGTTAAGTTGTTAAACCATAAAAGTCCTTGAGGAAACCATAGACAGCAAAATTTCAGACTTCTCTTGGAACAGTATTTTTGCTGATATATCTCCTAGGGCAAAGGAAACAAAGGAGAAAATAAATAGGACTATATCAAAATAAGCTGCTGCACAGCAAAAGAAACCATCAACAAAATGAAAATGAGCCCACTCTATGGGAAAACATATTTGCCAATGATATATCTGCTAAGAGGTTAATATCCAAAGTATATAAGGAACTCATTCCACTTAAAAAAAGGAAGACAATTCCATTAAAAAATGGGCAAAGGATCTAAATACACACTTCTCCAAAGTGCACATACAGAAAACCAATAGACATGAAAAAATGCTCAAAGTCACTAATCATCCAAGAGATGCAAATTAAAATAACAACGAGGTATCACCTCACACCTGCCAGAATGGCTGTCATCAAAAAATCAATAAATGACAAGTGTTGGCAAGGATGTGGAGAAAAGGGAACCTAGTACACTGCTGGTGGGAATGCAGACTGGTTTAGCCATTATGGAAAACAGTATGAAATATCCTTAAAAAAATTAAATATGGAACTGCCATTTGACCCAGTGATCTCACATCTAGGAATATACCCTAAGAAACCCGAAACACCAATCAGAAAGAATGTATGTACCCCTATGTTCATACCAGCACAATTTACAATAGCCAGGATCTGGACATAGCCCAAGTGCCTATGAGTAGATGAGTGGATAAAAAAAGTTGTGGTACATTTATACCATCGAATACTATGCAGCAGTAAAAAGGAAGTATCTCACCCTTTGAGACAGCATGGAAGGACCTGGAGAGTATTCTGCTAAGTGAGATCAGTCAGAGAAAGACAAGTATCATATGATCTCACTCATATGTGGAACCTAATGAACAAAATAAACTGGATCCAGAGACATGGAGACATGGAACAGACTGGAATCTCATAGAGAAGGCGGAGGAGGGTGGGTGGGTGGGGAGATATTAACCCATGGACACAGACAAATAGTGGGGTGAAAACCTGGGGACAGAAGCGGGCTAGAAGGGGTCAATGGGGAGAAAAGTGGACAACAAATGTAATACTTTCAACAATAAAGATAAATAAATAAATTAAAAAAAAAACATTAGTTGGAGTTAGGGTCACCCCCACATCCAGCGTTGTATCGATTTGTGAGAGTTTGGTATCCTTGTCTGGCCATAATAGATACTCAGTATATGCTGATAAAATTTAGTTGATACTCAGTACACGTTAGGGTATGAAGACTGTCATTTGTTGAATATCTGATAGGTGCCAGAAGTTATTTCTCACTAAACAAAGGTTTTGTTTAATCTTCATTTAATCCGTTCAATAATCCTGTCAGGTGGGTGGCGCATAATTTCCATAATTACAATGAAATAATTGCATCTTACAACTTGTTAGTGACAAGCCATGATTTAAAGTCAGGAGTCAGCTCAGTTCTAGCTTCTTTTACTACTACATGCTACCTCTTCCATCTCTAGGGTGGCATATGAACTTTATTCACTTAGCATTGCCTGGCTTCATCTCAAAATTGAATATTTTTTCCTTACCCACAAACTTTGCTTTGAAATAGGAAAATGAAAAAAGGTTAATCTCTATTATGTCTGGAGTACAATTCCTGTCCCCTTCTAAATCTAGTTGAAATGATTTCTGCTCCCACCCCCCCATTTCTATAACATAGGTTGGGGGGGGGGGGTCATCTTAAACCTTTCACTCTTTCTTCCTAATCCTGTTAGATGTTCCATCCATTATCTGTGCACTTAACCCCACCTCTAGTTTTATTGCTCAGTTATCATAATGGCATGCTTTCTTGTAGTAGTGATGCTGGTCTTTCTGCCTGTAGTGTCTTTCCCTCTCTATTTCTTCTATATACTACCATAGAATGATCTTCCTAAGTGATACTCGATATGTCAGAAAGCCTTGATTGCCCTTTACCTTTCAGGGGCAGGAAATTGCTTTCTTCAACACTTGTTGTTATTAAAGGTTCGGTCCAATACCTTTTCTTGACTCTTATAAGTGTTAATACTTTCTGGCAGTTGTTTTATTTTATTATTTTTTATTATAATTTATTGTGGTGATATTGGCTAATAAAATTATATAGGTTTCAGGGGTACAAGTCTATAATACATCATCTGTATATTGTATTGTGTTCACCACCCCAAGTCAAGATTCTTTCCATCAACATTTAACCCCTCCTTTACCTTCTACCTAGCCCCCCCCCCCCCCCCCCCCCGGAGGGAATTTAAAATGAGTTTTTGCTGGTTATGAATTAATTCTTTTTTTAAGTAAATATATTTTTATTGATTTCAGAGAGGGAGGGAGAAAGATAGAAACATCAATGATGAGAGAGAATCATCGATCAGCTGCCTCCTGTACATCCCCACATTGGGGATTAAGCCTGCAACCCGGGCAAGTGCCCTGACCGGAAATTGAACCGTGACCTCCTGGTTCATAAGTCTATGCTCAACCACTGAGCCACACCAGCCAGACTAATTATTCTTTACTGGAGGCCCGATGCACGAAATTTGGGCAAGAGTAGGCCTTCCCTCGCAGCCCTGGCTTTGTCTGGAAGGACGTCCGCATATCACGCTTTTATTATTATGTATTACTTTGTGTGTAGAATTTATGAGACTTCAAATTTTTTTATGTCTTTTTGTATTTTGCAGATTCTTTAAAGCAGGGGTACTTTCATATTAGAGTATCATTTAGGTTTATCAGATATAAAAAATAAATTTAAGCATAGTTGGGGAACAGTATGTATCTCTTCTAGTGATGTCATAGGTAGTTTTATGCTGTGGAAATGGGATTGTGCTTTACCTTAGAATTTTAACATAGTGCAAAACTGGCATCATTGTAATTGCCTTTCTGAGATGTTGTAAAGGCCTATATATAGTTGGAGGATTTTAGCTAAAGTACTTTATTTTATTATTATCAAATATAATTTATTTGAGGATCTTGATGATAATGTGATTATAGAATCTTAAAAAGGGCTAATCATAGCCTTCTTAGTCTAGAGCTACTAAGGGAATTTAGAGAAGTAATGTGTATTTGTTGAGAAAAATTTTATAAATTTGATCTGTGCTGGGCAACAGATTGCTTTTATAATATCTGTGAAGGAAAAGTTTATGAAGCAAAATAAGAGAATAAGCATGCTTTTATGAATGTATTTTAGTTACTTATTTTTTTATAGTAGGTTAAACAGAGACTTCTAATTGGAATACCTGAGTTAGTCATTGATCTGAATTATTGAGATTTTTGTTGTGTTTTGAACTTTTGTTTTTAAAAATGTAAGTAAAATGGATATATAGGTCTTAATTTTTAATAGAACTTATTTTTATTGAACAGCACCTGTGGAACCTTCTCAAGAGGAACAGTCGTTGTGTGAAGGTAATTTTCTATGATGTGACACTTTTACTATTTGATTTGAGAAAACAAGTTGTGTAATGGTGTGTAAAGCTAGATATTGCTTTGTAAATATATATTATATCTCAATTTCTTGTCTAGGTTCAAATTCAGCTGTTAGCATGGAACTTCAGAACCTGTTGGTAAGAAAATTTCTGACCATATTAATACAGTAATAAGAA